ATTATTATATATAGGCGATATGATGCAGTTGGTAGTGAAAATTTGATACACATGCGATATTAATGAGGAAATTTAAATTTATCTTATTAATACCGCGTATATTCTCGGTTATTTAAATAGTTAATTATATATAATCAGAAATACCGCATACGCGCGCGAACGTGAGGCGCTTCGTTGCGCAGAAACCGAAAACGGTTATCTCTTCGGGAGGAGAGTCGTTGACAGCGCAATAACTTGTGATCGATGCGATCCTACGACAAAGTTGCATTTCGTCGATTGACCGTCGTTGTGTGCGATGTCGGTTGTGAGTGAGAGTGGTATCATGATTCTAAATCCAGGCCAAGGGGTTATGCCCCTCAAATCCGAGTCAGGCCGACTGCCAAGAATACTTCGAGAAATTTACTGCTCCGAGAATCAAGGAAGCAATAACGCTCTCCGAAATCGGAGCTACGTTTCTCGATATATCTTTAACGGTGATATCTGTTTGTGTCCGAAATACTCGGCTAACGTGGATTTAACGTTAGCGCGAGCGACCGTGGATCCGTTGGGATTTAATCAACCCGATGTACCAGCCGGCATCCTTATAAACGTATTTTATTAACGTCCTTCTGCAGCATCCTTAGCAACACATTGCTAAGAACTTGTATCCGCAACTTTACTCGTTTCCTAATATATCTCCGTATCCTCGGTATACCATCAATGTGTCCATTAAATACAATTTTAATTTCTGAGTTTCTTTCTGAGCTTTGACCAGTTATATATATATATATATATATATAAATTAATATTTTAAGATTTTTATTCTTTCTTAGAAATTTTCCAGAGAACAAAGAGAGTAAGTTTACTTATCTTTTACTTTTTCTTTTTAATTAAATAACGCTTATTCTATTTTGCAATTACGAATCTATCTTGCAATTTCTAACTCGCGGTTAATCTCGTAATTAAATAAAGTAATCACGAAAGTGTTTGTAAAAAAACTCGTGCCTTGATAGAAATGAAAGTACCAGCAGTGTGTGTGTGTGTGTGTGATTGTACACGTGTCTGCGTATGTCGTCAATTTGCTTTCATGACGCACATGCGTTACATAAAAAGAGGATTGCGGGATTATAAACGTGGATGATGAAAATTCGTGAATGGCAACGAAAACCGTATAACTTTCACTGATGAATTTTGCATAGCGGCACTAGCTCGGTTGATGGTGAAAATGCGATATATGTATAATCGACTCTTCCCCGTAATGTGTGGGGCGCATTCGCGCCGATCGATACTATCTCCTTCAAATATTTACAGACCCTGGATCATTCAGCAACTACGTTCGCGCCGCCACTTTGCAGCGATCAATCCATAATAATATACGTGGCGCTCCGGAAATCAAACTCTGACGATTAGCTTCGTTAATGATTGCGGCACGCCGAGATAATCGACAGGCGATGAATAATTTAATCGGTTATGGCTTCGCGCTGCTGCACTTAGGTCACGACTCGACCATAACGTATCGTATCGCAATTAAAATACATGCACTTTAATTCTAAAATCGATTGTACGAATAACTAGAACAGCATGAGATATGCAGACGCCACTTGACTTACTTTCGTCCGCAAATTCGTCGACTTGTTTAAAATAAATATTTTTCTCTCTTTTTTTTTCTTCTTTTTTTTAAGAAACATGAACTGACAGTTTTATTTCGAATGAGTTCCACTCTGACGAAAACTTTTAATTTGAGGATTACTCACGCAAAGTCGAATGTTGAAAAGTTAAGAAGAGAAGCGTGTCGTCCGATTAAATTTTTACTAAGGAAAAGTCGACTCTAAATTAGTCAAACGATGTGTACATAAAAGAAAGCGAGGGAAATCTGGGACATGCTGTGTATGATTAATGGCGTTACTTACCTTATATTACGCGCGCAAATTTATTTGCTAATATTTACTTTTTTGCTACAATTCTCTGACATTGTTTGCCGTTAAGATATTATATCTTGCATCTTGGTCTATCGCGAGCACTGGCGCAGAATTGCGCCAGTGCTCGTTAACACAAAGCCAATGCTTTGCTACGTTAAGTTCCAAACGTAATTTTGTCGTATTCGTCGAGTGTACGTCATTAGCCTGACGAATAGTGTCAACGACGACAAAGCTAAGCATGCGACGGCGGAGAATTACCGCGTTTTCAAAGCAATCACGTTGTCGCAGCGGCGATGCTCGTCCCATTTTCACAAATTAGCCGGTCACGATTGTCGCTTAACAATATTCTCGTTCTTACGCCCACCGTTGTTTTTCCGTTATTCTATTATTTAAGTTCGTGCGTACGCGTGTTACTTTTTCTTTTCCGAAAAGAGACAGCTCGACAATTTGTCGCGACATTATTATTAGCCGGCGTTAACTGAAGGTAAAAGCGAAGTAAGTATCGCCAACAAAGATCCCGAGCGTAATCGAGGATTAACGCTTATAACCGTTTTCCCCCGGATCGATGAAAGTGCGAGGCCTAAAATAATGCCCCGTTCTACGTGGATTTAATGGGTGGTTGATGCCGTAAGTGCAGCTCTCGTTTCGCGATATTATGGCCATAGCATGAGCTCGTCAATTATTACGCGAATGTACGCTCCCTCGATATCGGCGAACGCATGCGTTTCAAACTATTTTACATGTTCTCACACTAATGCGCAACCGAAGTGTCCCCGAAGAAACTCATCGGATCTTCCGTGCGACTGATAAAGCCACTTATTCCTTTTTTCTTCCCTTTCTTCGTTTCTTCGTTCGTTCGTACGGTCCCGGCGAGAGATCATTATTTACGGCGATAGAACGCAGAGCCGATAAGCTCGGGCATTCATAGTCTCCCAAAACCGGTAAAGTTTTTCCGAAGCGACCCAGGAAACGGCATCGTTTTGAGTATGCGCCCGCGAAAGTATGCCGGAAGATTTCCTCTTGGCGAACCGATCCGCCCGAAGTTGCCATTACCCGGCAGTTTTGCGACAGTGGGGTAGTTCGATATTTTTCAACCCTTTCGCGTAGTCTACCGATAGCTGCCTCCATTTTCCTCCGATCGGTTCGATTCAGTGCGAAAACATCTCGTATACCGGTATTTATAAACAAACTGTCGAGAAGAAAATAGAACGAAACGGAATATTTAAAAAACCCGTGAATTTTGTACACGTTAATCGTTTTTTTAACGTTTAAGACCGATATGTATCTTCCATATTCCACCGTTCGCTCTTCCTCAAGATTGGGGAAAGCAAACGGCGAGCTCGACGATCCTCTGTTAGAGGACTTCTGGACTTTGCATACTTCCGCTGTACGTAGCTACGTACCTGTTTTAAACTTAGCCGACGGAATCTTCGGCAGTGAGGGAAACGGGGTCAGCTGGGGGAGGTAACCGTGGAATCGTTTCGCGGGATTATCGTGCTGGACTTACCGCCGGAAATGATTTCCGCGGCTAATTGAGCGTGCTCGACCGCCTCGCGGCTCGATTACTTCTCAAACTTACCGTGTCGCAGTGACACGTTTTCCTCTCGCGAGAGTCGCGGGAAATTTACCGGCGACAGGCTCTATTGAAAATTCCCGCGAGTCTCGACATCTTGCCCTCGCGATATCGCGTCGTTACATGGCGAATACGTTACATATACCGCGGTAAAACGCCGGGTTACACGGTAAAAACGATGGAAATCTCTTTTTCTGCCCACGAACCAAAGAACCATTGTACATATCCTAATCGACATGCCATCTTGTTGTGAGCGAAGATTTTCGCCCGTAATTCTGAAACGTCTGGTGCAAAAGATATAAAGATGGAATAAGATATTTTGTGAGAAGAAACGGAAGGAAGCGCGAAACGAACGTTTTCTTGGTATCGTACCCCAGTTGGATTATGTATTGCGATTCAATCAGAGTATTAGTCGACTGGATATCATGAGATACGATCATTGACCGTTCCATCTGCAGGTATTGCGATATCATTCGATTATGATGCTTGGGTGAATCGTAATTATGTCCTCCACATTCGCAGCTGGAGTGGGTGACAGTCTGACGAGGGATAGGTACGACGGGGCGTTAGGAGCGGAATAGGTCGTCTTAACAGCCCTGGAGACACGGATGGCACATAGAATAATAGGTTACTCCGGCAACGTGGGTTAGTCCCTGTTAGCAAGACCGAGAATGCACAATGTATGCAAACACTGTAGCGGCCCCGTATTCTCCCGAAATGCTCGAATTACTGTTCTTCGTCCAATAGGATGCTCGCTTAGCTGTCAGGACGCTTTTGCAGCTCTCTTCGAAGCTAATGGAGAGACGCGACGATCTGTTTTCCTTAAAGCACTTCAGCCATCTCGCGGCGCGTTTATCTCGGGGAAATGGTGCGATACGTCTCGCCTGTCGCAATTTTCTTTTTGCGAAATATATCGCCTCCCCTCACACAGCCATGTCGACGCGTCTCGGCATACCGAGGCCGACACTGAATGTTGGCATTTTCTGCCGTTATTAAACGCCTCCATTTCCCGTAATTACTCGCGCTCGCTCGCTCGCTGCTATATCAAAAGTGCGATACTTACCTTGGAAAATGCAAGTTTAGAATAAAGAAGTTATCATTTTACGAAGTAATGGCCGGAAGAATCGAGCATTTCTCACACACGTGATTGTATTCTCTTCAAGTACGATATAATTGAGGTGTATTTCGCGTGATTGTATTCGACGAAAACGATAAATCGAAATGCACGGTATCGGACGATATTTATTATGTGCCGCGTTAAGTACGCGTCGCATAGCGACGTGCGCTCGTGTCGCGTTCTCACGTAAAGAAATTTCTTTCCCGTTCGAAATGGGGAGCATGAGGTATAACGGAGAAACGTAATACGAGTACACACGTTACGCGAATAAATTCGTCTCACGTACCGCAGGAATTTCGCCTCCTCGTATCGTACCGTCCCACGGTCTTAATGGAGAGGAGGCATGGAAAGGTCAAGTGGAACGACAAGCGAATGAGCTCGTTTGTGTAAAACAGATGAAACGTATTCTCTTTATTCGTATTCGTATGCCATCGAGTTTTATCTTACGCGATCGGACATATCTCGACTTAACGTGTAACGGATTGAAATTCGGACATTAGTGACTATAACTCTAGGACCAGGCTCGTGTCTATTTACAATAGATCTTTGTACAAAAACTAGTTTCATATAAACAGTAAAACCCACGTCCGTGTACCGCGTCGATGATCGGGAACGAAGACGTCGCTCCTTAAAGAGAGGATTTTCTCGGGTTTCGGCGAAAAGTCTCTCGAACGAATACGCTTTTTTTCCCTCGGGTCGTTATAAAAAATTTTGCGTACGAAAAACATGAGCAGTGATGAGCTTCGAATACGATCACATTAATATCGTTAGTATTTCGAGGATAAGGCTGGACAAGCTACTGTTCGCGAACACATGCACACACACACACACATTCCTCTCCCCCTTCTCTCCTCTTCTAACCGTATTTCCTCGCAAGAGACTGCGAGGCCGACTCGAAAGTAGTTTGTAGATTGTAAAAGTTCCAAAAGAATTTTCACGTGAGGTCCATATAAAAAGACATCTTGCGCGCGACTCTCGCGAAACCGGGAATATGGATAAAGTATAAAGCGTCGTTGAGACATCCCTTAGCTCGCGCGCTTCGACCCAGCCTCATCTCTCTCGTTATTGACATTAACTACTTAGGGGTTAGACTCTTTGTACGTACGATATACCGCTTATATCTCAGTAATGTCAGTAAAGAAATATTTCCGGACGTGTACGGGGCTTCTTCTCTAAGACTCGCGCTAACGTCGTTTATCTCGTCTCTCCTGCAAAATTATGTGCGAAAACGTGGCCACCCCTAGTGGCGACGATATCGGCGTAACGTAATATCGAGGAGGGACCGCGTTCCCGTCAATACGAACACCCCAACCAGCCTCTACGGTTTTGTACAGTAAACGTTAAGTATGTCTCTCTTTCTTTCAAACAAACACACACGCATTCTCTCTCTCTCTCTCTCCTTCTCTCATATTGGGAAGATGCTGCGTTAAACCTCGCGATCGCGTCTTGGGAATCCACGGGTCTCTCTCTGCAACGCTCCTCTCACTGTTCGCACGCTCGTTACATTTACGCGTGTAAATATAATCGTCGTCGACTATGGCGTCTCAGAAGCTTACGGGGTTGATCCCGCGGGGAATCCCTCCGAACTTATATACAACTCTCTTGTATCCGATTCGAGCGTGTGACCACTTCCGGCTGATGGAATTTGCCTTGCGCGGAGACTGATGACGAAACGGGCCTCTGCGGCATCGACGAGAGCCCTTTGCTCGTCCTTTGAAGGCTATAATATATCTGAAAGCATAAAAAATACGTCTCGACGTTTCACAAGATTGTTACATTGGTAGTTGACGAGAGGATACGTACAAGTTGTGCGATATTTCTTTTAACGAATGAAAATTATACATTACAATTATTGATACGTTTAAGAAGAGAGAGCACTGTATTACGCGCAGCAACCCAAGTACTTGAAATCTTTATCTGAGAATTTTGTCAATTATTATAAATATCATATATTATATGGAGCTGGGATTCTGATGATTTAGATACGATATGATTTAGATACAGTATTTAGATACAGTATGATTTAGACACAGTATTTGTCATGTTTGGAAAATGTATGTATGTAATGTAAAATATTTGAACTAGTATTTCACTTATTTATTTTATTTATTACTAATTATAATATCTACCAGGATGCGAGTTCAAGCTGTCCGAACTGTCGGAAGATAAACAAGGTTCTGAGATAAAGGTTTCAAGAACTTGGGTTGCGGCACCTAACAGCGCATGTCAGAATACGATTACTTTGACGGAAGAGAGCGTAAGTCGTACACGAGACGAGTAATGTGCATCAGGACTGGCCTCGTCGAATTATTGAGAAAACTTCAACGTAATTAAACTTACGAAAGCGCAGATAACTCAAAGGTCTGCTTAAAAGGGAAAAGTTAAAGTGGGAGACTGCCGCATATTGAGGCAAACGTTCCTCTTGCCGACTGGCTTTCCATCGCTTCGGTCGAAGCTCCTAATATTTAAAACAACCCCTCCGATTTAACCCCCGCGAAAGTTAGAAGGGGCCGGTATTACGACGAAAACGGTCGTCGAATTGGGTATTACGGGGTCAAAAATGCTTTACCCATTCAACGCGATTAAAGACGTAATTCCATCGTACTTTCGGTTTTTTTCTTTCTTTCTGTCTCCTTTCCAACTTGAATTATTCCACGTTTGCGAAGGCTAACGATAGAATACTAAACAAACACCGTGGAAAAATTGCTTACTAATTTTCTCCTCGACGAGAAAATTATACGTTACAATAATTCAGTCAATCAAGCAGCGGTAAGGCTGAGCAACAAATCGGGCGCAATGTTTTGGCAGAATTCACTTACGTTTTGGTTGTTGCGCTGATTGTACGCGTCCATCGCCATCTGCTTGAAATCTGCCATCGTGGGCGGATGATTGTAAGTGCTCTGCTGAGACACGTGATTCTGCGAGTAATTAATGGTAGGCGTTGGCAAGCAGTCAGTCAGCATCGGATCCGGGGGCAAGTCCAGACCGTGCTGAACGATTGGCCTCTTCTCCGGCGAGGTGTCCTCGTCGGTGGCGCGATCTTTCTTCCGCCGTTGTGGCGGTGTCTTGTAGACAGGAGTGTACGTTAGGGGTCTTCTTTCTACGAACAGATTTGAGGAAGCCATGCAGAACTAGACGGCTAAGCCGCTTAGTCGATTAAATCAAGGCAAGGCAGGCTATTTTATAAATACCACCCTCTCTCTCTCGTGAACGCGACAAACATAAGTTCCGTGTCCGATTCGTCGCTTTGTGTCGCATCGTGTTTTTCATTACGACGTGAAAAGCGAGATTCACGTCGCGAGGATTTGTCCGCTCCCGCTCTCTATTGGCAAGATTTTTTCATTTGCAAAAATTGCGAAATCTACGCAGGACGTCTCTCGATTTTTAAGTATCTCGATCTATCTCCATATATTCCGACATTATTATTATTATTATTTCGCGCAGCTCATTCGTCGACGTAGCTCGTATTAATATTGCAAATGGAAATGTATTTTCATGGAAAAGATAACGTTGAAATGAATTTAAATGAGAAGTTTGTTTCATGGGGACTTGCTGGTTACAAGTACGAAAGCTAACGTGTTTGTTATTATACTCGACGCGCTTGGGAAATGATATCCAGATTAGAGTTTTATTATATTCGCTTTCACACGCGGATTTAAAGCACGTGGTGTTGTCCCAGAAATACATTCTCGCTGTATCTGCGACATTTTGCGCGGATCTTAATTCGTCATACCAGCCAGTGTTTAAGCGAAAAGCTCGATCGAATTATTACCGTTTGCCGCTACACCGGCACTTTAATATTTGAGGACGGTATACTTGAGGACCAAACAATGCTTCGGTAAAATGGATGAAATCAAACATCGGTAGAATACGTATTCCTGTTGCCACGTGAATTCCATCTATAGTTCAATTACATTACCATTATACATTTATGAAGATTAATGCATGTGGCTTTTGATGTATCTTGCAAGAAATCGATAGGCACTGTAATATTCATAGAGAGTCGGGAAACTTGCTCACATGTGTATATATAACACATCTAAATAGATACACGAAACTTAAAATTGAGCAACGACAAGCTTAAAGTCGGTTAATTAATATTTAATACATTATGCGCTCCTCTACCGCTCCAAGTTCCTACATTATTTATAAATCTCATGTAAAGAATGGGGGAGAGAGAGAGAGATAACTGCGGCGATCAATCTTTTTGGAAAACTTTTTGTGGTGCAATTCACTATACTTAATAATTTACGGTTACCGATTCTAAAAGAGATACGATTGTAACATTTACTCATTCTACATACAATACAACATTCAACAATTGAAAACTGCAAACACGATTTTTGTTTTTAAACAGTATCAAGCATAAAGTAAAATTGCAAGTAAAATATATAACGAACCTATCTCATCTCTCACTCTCAGTGCGTAATTATTTCATGAAAAATTAAATAAAATTTTTTTACACGCTCGTTACTTTCGTACTATCTCAAAAAAGCAAAATTGTTTTAATTCTGTCGCTAAACCACTCCCTCTCTCTCTCTCTCTCTCTCTCTCTCTCTCGCAACACATCCGAAGAAAATGCGCGCGTGCGACGACCCAGCTAAATTCTCGTCGGCGCGAAACAGAATAGCGAGTCGATGGATGTGTGCGAGGCAAGACGCGATTCGCGCGACTCTTTTTCGCGACGATCGGAATGCCGTACTCACCGTACTCGTTGGGTATGATGTCCGGATCGATGTCATCGACCGTCTGCTTGGTCTGAGGGTGCACCGGGGTGGTTGCACCTGCATTAGGCGGCTCGCACACGATGGGAGCGTGCTTTGGACTCCCGGGTCGGCCGGTGAAGTGCTTCCGGCAGAGCGCCACTACGATTACAGCTACGGCCAGGACCAAAAGGGTCGCCGTGGCTGCCAAGCCCAGCAACAACGGATTCAGCATCGATGCGTTGGTGTTGCCTGCCGCGACAGTCGATGCAAAATGCTCGATCAACTGGAACTTCTATCGATCATCCCATGTATCCCTACCCCGCGCCAACGACCCATCCCTTTCGCCCGATCCTGCATTCTGTCTAACGCGAGGTGGAAGTTCGCGCAAGTCGTAGTGAAGGAAGCACTATAAGTAACTTCTCTCTCTTTTACGTCGAGTCGCCCTCTCGTTCGTTCGTTCGTTCGTTCGTTCGTTCGTTCGCTCGCTCGCTCGCTCGCCTTTTCTCTTTTTCTCTTTCTCCCTTTCTGTGTCGCGTATCGAAGTCGTATCGACAAGAGAGAAAGAAAGAGAAGGAAACGCGACTGCTTCTCCGTACTTTTCAATTACCCTCGGATTGTGTCGCGTCGCTCGTTGATTGGCTGCAAATTCGTGAACGGAATCCGAAACACGTAATAAATGTTTTATGCGTTGCCGGCTACTCCCCTGCAGCTACTCCCGGACGAGATATTTCCAAGCGCTGGCTGTTTTGCGTCTCGCCGTGGCCTTTCCCTTTGTCTCGGTAAACGAAGGTATCAGAAAGGAGGCGATTCAGCGTTTCTCTATTACCGACGCGTGACACACCGTCCCGCACAAAGAGTACGTACAACGGTAGATCGAAAAGGGATCATTGAACGGGCACAGTACCTTGATATATATCGCAAAGCGCTGCTCTGAAAGTGGCCTGATTGCAAGAGGTAAACCCCCCTTTGTGATAGCGCCGTTCACAGTCTAGCGCGATCGTTAGAGCGTGAACCGCGCCGGGGAAAAATTATAACTGCTGCCCGATAATTTGTTGTGTCAACAGACTTAATCTCGCGCTCGTGTTGCATCGAACAATCCGATTAAAATATTTCATCTGGTTGCAACTCCGTCGGATTACTCCGGCGGAATACTACACGACGTCGCGCGCGATGCCGCGATACACCGACTATCTCCAAGACTGGAGACCGTTTTCTCGCGATTAATTGCGCGCTTCCTCGTTTCTTTTATCGATATTCCGAACGTTTCCCTTCTCGATGAGTCGCGTGATTACGCGTTCTCTAAACGTTCCTACTTTTTCGGAAGAGAACCACTTGACGTCGTGGCTTTCGAATAACGGAATAGAAGCAGTCGTGACGGTCATCTTTGCCGTATCATCGTCGTGAATTCACGTCCGTTCTATTCAGACGAGATAACGCAGATAGCGTCCCTCTGTGTGTTGATCCTCTCTCCTCCTGCCCTCCCTCTCTCCCTGTTTCTGCCACGACGGTCTCGATGACTATGGTCGGAACAAGCACATCGATATCGAGCGACCGGCTTAATAAGCAGGACAATAATTAACGAAGGTATGTCTATTATGGGGCTATTACAGTTCAACCCCTCTATATAAATGCGTACTCCCGTCGCACCGGCGCAATATGCCGCACGCATACGCGAACGTGTCTCTACTTTACCCCCGGGTTCTATTCCCGCGTTTTCTGCGTGTGTGCGTTCATTCGCGCGTGCAAACACGCGTGCGACCACCGTCTCTCGTATGTTACGTTACGTGTGCGCGCGCGCGGAACGAGCACGTGTGTACATACACGTATTTATGTGCGTATTTATATACGTATATTTATATATATATATGTATATATATCTTACCGCAAGGAGAGAATATAATTACATCAATTAGCGTACACCCTGCCGCGCGCATACACCTGTAAAACCGCCCCTACAAGGACGTCCGCGTGGAGTCCAGCTCCGGGTGGTTGTTATCACAAGCGAGCTCGCACCCCGCACCTAAATATAAACCGGTTCATATACGTGGGCGAGCTATGGGTGGTTACGTCCTATTGACCCTGTGCACTCGTACCCTTCTATGCGCCGCATAGAAGGACGTTTTGTTCGAGTTTTTCCAGCCCGGACGCGCGCTATATACCGATTCTATTATTACGAATAAGTGGTTTCCGTATAAAATTGGATTCCGGCCTCGTCCGTTCGGCGAACGCACGATATTCCGGCGTGCGATACGACGGAATTACGATGGGATATAATTCGCCAATGTAGAACGTGTCGTCGGAGAGGGAGTGCATTCGCGCGTCATGTCGTCACCGATGAAGATTCACGCGCGGAGACGCGCGCTGAGCGCATTGTAGCTTTTTTCCATGTAGCTGTATAACAGTTATCTCGATAATAGCGAGTGCTGCGAGCGCGAGTTTCGCAATTGCTGCCACGTTAGCCGCGCGGTAACTAAAGCTTAAGCGAGCGGTAATACCCGAAGCGACGAGCTTGCAGCTCGGTTAAAAACACGAAAAGGCGCCAGCGAGATGCGCCTTTTAAAGCTCGTTTAGCGCTGGAAAACCGACCGCGGCCCATTCAGGATCTCAAAGAAATGAAACGGTGTAAACGAAATCGCTTCTAGGCTACAAGTGCGAACTCCGCCTTCAGAGGCTTCGGGTTTATTGTTTGCAGTTGCAGCTGAAAGAGGCGGCGTAAATACGTTCTCTTTCAACACGGTTACCTCAATATCGTAAATTATATCCACGAATTGTCGATCTCTCTACGAAATGTTTTGCGCGTGAAAACGAGCCGCGCGAATTTCTTTGCCGCTTAATTATCGTCGTCTCTGTTTAATCGTCACGTTGTCCAGATTTTTAAAAATTTGAAATAATAAAAACCATTTAACAAATCATACTGCTTCAATCGCTTAGGAAAATAAATAACAAATGATTTCAACGAAATGAAATAACAACATAGATCGAAGTTTTATCGATTTTATCGTCGCGGATTTAATCGCGAATATGTCATTTATGTTAGCGTAGAGCGATTCCTTTCTCGCGGAATATTCATGATGAAACGATGGAAATAGTTGTACGACCGTATCGTACAAACGTACTTCTCTCACAGTTGATCTATGATACGTGTAAAGTCGTTAGAGTGATTTAAACGTGTTTCACGTATATGATTATTATACTCCGAAATCATTTGTTCTCGAAAGTAATTTTGTAACGAGATTACACATAAAGGGAAACCGTATATATTGCGCATCCGCTCGGTAAATTAATGCTTCTGTTCAAGCAAATTCTATTTTCCGTATATTACGTTCAGTTTAACGGTCGTCCCGCGCATAAATATTACACGCTGTAACGAAGCGGCGAAGGAAATCTAGGATTATTTGTCGAAATTTTACGGCATCTGTTTTTTAAGTATGAATCCGCCCAACGAAATTGCATTCAGCCGACGAACGGAACGAACAGAAATATTCCATTTTGTTGTCAAGAATGTGCATTTTTTTCAATATAATTGGTATTTAATTCGACACATATTTATGCGTTTATTGCGTGCCGTGTCACTACAGTGCGCCGCTATCGCGTTGTATCGGTATGACGGTTAAATTGAATCACGGATGGTATATATTACGCGCGATATTAGCACTCTCTCAGTTGGAATACCGATTGTTTGCCGGGAAAAAGCGCATTTGAAATTAACAAACCTGGCAATATATTCGCCAAAGGCATCGCGTGCTTACGTAAATTGCGAGCGAATAAATTCTCGTCGAAAGTCCATTATGCAAATATTATTGAGCGGGAAGATGCAACCGAGAGAGGTGCTTCTTAAGAGCTCGCTAAAAAAAAGGGAGATGAAAAGGGAGAGAGAAAGACGTGGCATGAAATTCATAAAATATATAAAATTTCGCCTCGCTCAGGCGTAACGGCCAAAGTTTGTTAATAAGAAATGGAAGATTGCTCGTTACCGGAGACGTCGGTTGTAAAATCCGCGTGGGGTTTCGGCCGATACGCGATATAACGCCTCGGAACCGATTAGACGGCTCGCGCGAAAAGGGAAAGTCATCGGGGTCGTTGATCGAAATGAGCCAATGAAACGCGCGCGCGCGCGAAACCGGGAGAGACTCCAATCTCGCGTACGAGGAAAACCAACGAGGAAAAAAACAGGCTGTCACGTTTAATCATGGTGTCGCTCCTTGGATCGGCCACCGTCGGCGCCGTTGAAATTTTTAAAAGAGCCGTAAATCCGCTGTTATCCGCAGTCCTGTAGGAGACAGAGGTAGCTGGAATTCCGGCTTGACGGGCACCCAGGGAGCATTCGTGATACTCGTTAAAGTTTGATTAGACTTTGATTGCCGGCGGAAAGCGGACCAATTTAAACTCCACCTCGCAGACTGCGAAAGCAAAAAAAAGACACGGAGGGAGGAAGAGAGAGGGAGAGAGAAAGAGAGACAGAGGGACAGACAGAGAAGGAGAGAGAGGAGGGAAGGAGTGGAACACGACATCCGGCGACCAAGTGAACGCGGGCGTTACGTCTCGGCTTTGCCGCGTTCTCTCCATGAAAGAATTTATTCGAGAGCGGCAGAGCTACCTGTCCTTCGCTTGTATGTACAGCCGACGCGCGGACAGTGTGTTTACACCGGGATATGTCCCAGACACCGGGAGTAATTAAACTTTTTCCAGTGTGAAATTGCAGGGCCGCGCCGGCGCGTTGAGTGGCGGACAGGGGAGGAGGGAGGTGCAGTTGCTCGATCGCGACGGAAAATTGTAAAAGTAGGTATAATTGCGAGGGCGAAGGAAATGGCGTCGCTCGAGTTATGTCTCTTACCGTGTCGCGCGACAAACAACGACGTTATATAGCTTTGGAAACGTTTGAGATTCAACAACGTCGCGGCGAAGATACTCGGCCGAAATATAATTGTCAATGACGCGGCAGAGAGGAGAACCGTTGATGATAATAACGAGCGAAGGAAAAGGGGGGGGGGGAAAGCGAGGCAGAGAAGCGCGCCGGAGCTTTTTGAAAAATATTTGTCCGTTTCACCGTGGGACTCGACGTAATTATTATAATGACTCGTGTCACTGCTGAAGGACAAAAGGGGAAGGATATAGAAGGGCCTACGCACGCGTGCATCTCCTGCCCGCTCGCTCGTTCGTTCGCGCGCGCGGTTGTTTGCCTTAAACAGGATTTTAATGTACTCAAGCCGCTCTTTTGCCGCGCGTCTTGTTGACTATGCACTTTGTCT